TTGCTGAGGGTGCACTTGATCCCACTGTCAAACTAGCCAAGATAGAGCTAGATGAGGAGCTCTGATCTGGGTTTCTATCATCACCTTCATGTCCAGCCTTAGAGAGATTAACCAGGCTCTTCACAAACACTGAAGTGCTGAAGTGCTTATGCCCCATGCTGACACACCCAAGAGATCATCCCACAGCCAGAGCAGAAACAGAGAGGGCTGCATGTCAGGCTAGCACAGACCATCAGCCTGTGCAGGACTCCACAGCACATCCCACCAGGCACAGCGAGGGACACTGACCCTCCACACAGGCTGACTAGCCCAGCCCCGCTCCCATGGGTGCTACCTGACAGGTAGTCGTGGCTTGATATTGACAGGCGGTGGTGCGGGGACGTCATTTGGAAATATGTCAATCCACATGTGCAAGGAGCCCTGGTGAGAGAAGACAGTAGAAAGACTTCAAAAGACAGGACACCCTCCAGCTTTTCAAGGAGCAAAGGCTTGGTCCTGCAAGGAAAGCTCTCACCAAAAAGCCACTGCGTGGCTCTCTCCATCCCCAGCACTTCAGAGTGACACGTGACTGGATTTTAGACATGGAAAAAATGAAAACTATCAAAAATGGCTTATTTCCCTCCTCACCCTGCTCCCAAGAAAAACCATTTCAGCTGAAGTGAGCTTGTTTCCAAGGCAAATGTATCTCCCTGTCTTACCAAGAAGCGTACAACGATGCAATGCTTCAGCATAACCAAGAAAACTACAAAGTGATGGGTCTGACCCTCCCCTCCCCACGTGCATTTCCAACGCCCACCAAAGCCAGAGGGACTGCAGAGCTCTGCTTTGTTACAGTCTCCGGTGTCTGAGGGAACAGGAGATGTTCAGTGCAGCATATGGAAATGGCTGAGTTCAGATCACTGCACTGCATAAACTTGAGGAGGAATATTTCTCCTCCAGCCAGCAGTTACGTCGTGTCTCCAGGAAGAAGCCAAGGGGGCAGAAGGGGGCTCTTGCAGGGGAACAAAGCAGCAGTAACAAGGGACAAAGCAGAGGAAGAGGCAGGGATAGGCAAGGACACTCCCACCCACTGGGGTGCGTGGTGGCAGGGCTCAGAAGGCAGAGCAGGTCCCTTGCAGCCCTCACAGCATCCTCATCAGAGCAGTGCTACATGGCCTGAGGAGACAAGAAGGACTCTGAGCCACCAGCATTGTGACCACAACATCAATGGACAGAGGTTCCTTGAGGAAAGGGTGTCCAGCAGCACCATGAGAGGTCAGAGGGTGGATCTGAGCAAAGGACAGCCAAGGCCAACAGTCCTCACTTCATAGCAGGGCCAGCCATCCACAGACACAGCTCCAGTCACCCACTCAGGAAGGGGCAACGCATGGGATTCATGCCATGATGAGGAGACAAAAGGCCAACAGGGGACTGGGAAGCAACTGCCCCAAAAGTCCTTTTCCAGAGCAATGTCTTGGCTGGGCAAGGAAACATATCTCACCTGCACAAGCCCAGGGTTCTCCGGGTTATACAGGGACCGGATCTCCACATGTTCTGGTACCAGCTTGTACCCATATCCTGGCATCTCTTCCCAGTGCTGCAGGACGTACAAAGCCTTATGTTCATCATCCACTGACCAGTTCTCATCCACCACTCCCCTCTTGTTCCTCACAGAGGTCTCTGCAGCAGGACACAATTGGGAGAAGGTGAAGGCATCTAGCCAGCAAGAGCCACTTGAGGACGTTAGTCACAGGCAGAAGTAAGGGAAGATGATGGACTAGGCAAACAAGCACCTCCCCAGAAAAACAAAATGGGCAGAAGCAGGAGGACAAGGATGGAGGATGAGTTCAGTATGTTGCAGTGATGGGAAGACTGTAGGCAGGAAAACAAACAAGACAAGAAAAATAACAGGAAAAGGGCCTTGGAAAAAGGATCCAGGGGACACCGAGGAGGATGTGACTCTCTGAGGCAGTTTAAGTCCCCATGTCTCTGTACCAACAGATCCATGGATGAGAAGTTTTGTCCTAGAAGTGCTCCAGGAAAGCATCACTTGTCACTTGGCAGTGACACACAGCTGTGCTCTGTTAATTAACAGTCTGCGCTATTGACTCATTTGGCGCAGTGAAGCCAAGTGGCAGTTCAAGACCAAATCCTGTTGGTAGGGAGAAAAGCAGGAACCCATAGGTGAGGACACAATAACACCCCCCCACCCCTGGGTTTATGGAGAACATCTGCCCTTTGGAGATCAGTCTGAGACCAAAACCACCCCAAGCAGTCCCCGAGCACAGCAGAGGTTCATGGGCCACCAACTGCAGCCACGTTTGAACCAGAGATGGCTCTCAGGGGAACACCAGGAGAGCACCTCGTTTCACTCTTCCCAGCTGCCCAGTGAGCTGAGAAAAGGGGAAAATAGCTTTTGGAGTCTCCTTGCCCTCTCCTGAACAGGATTTCTTTCCCCATCATGACATAAGCCATAGAGGTCAGCAAAAAGCTGATGAACATCAGCACTGAAATAAGCAGAAGGTAAAGTTGGCCATACACGTTGGTCCCCCCTCTCTGGGCAGGTTGAGCACAGGATCATCCTTCCTACAGCCTATACAGCATTGTCTTGCAGGGCCACATCTGCTCCACCCTTTCCTCCAGGCTGGAGTCGATTGCACAGGTGTTGGCTACTGGAGGGAATGTGCACAGCAGGGACAGGCCTGTGCTCAGGGAATTTCTCCATCGCTGCTGGTGGAGGGCATGAACGGTTGCTGTGTATTCTTGGACATCCGTGGCCCTGGCTAAGAGTTTGTAATGCCAGTGAGCAGGAAAGAAAAACAGCGAAGGAGAAGCAGAAGCTGCCTGCAAGGAGCAAATCAACAGTAGTGAGGAGCAGTGGGGTGTCACCCAAGGCACCCAAAGCCACCAGAAGCTGAGAGCATCCCTGAAGGACAAAGCCAGCTAAAAACAGGAAAGAAGACTGAAAAAGCACCCCCTAAAAAAAAAACCCCAACCAACCAAACACGAAAGAATGTCAGTATCAGCTTTGTGTCAGTGTCAGCCACCAGAATAACTTACACCTTCTCTGGCTGCACAAGCCACCAAAGCCCCGTGCACATCACTGCCAAACAAGCGGGTTTACTTTGCTCCACCCACTGCCTGAGAAGCCACTTTGGGACTTAATGGTCTGGATCACATCTTCCCCCACTGCAACACCGTCATCCACTGAAACCAGGCCACTGAGCACTGAGGATGCTCCTCACAGTGACCCAGAAAGCTGGGCCATGCAGGGCACAGAGCTGGGGCAGCCAGCCTGGACACTTCAGGG